CAAACACTTAACCTCTAGACCATTCAGTCGGCATCCAACGGTGCCAATGTCTAAATCCAACTAATTCACAAAAGTGAGCGACACATACACTATTGTCTTGAGTGGTTTGCTATCTCACGACAAACTCGGTTGCACTCCACTGGTCACGGCTTCACACTAGAACTCGGGGAAATACCTCTTGAAGCCAGTCACTAGTGAACGTATGTTGATTAGTATCAGATGGAGTTTTGTGGATATTATGGTAATTTTTAACCGTTGAGATCATGAAGACCACTTGAAGCTAGACCACCATGGAAAACCTGGAAGCACTGAACGACCGTTTCGTCCTATTTCGAGTTTTCTATGCTGGTCTATCTTCAATCGACTCATAATCTCAACTATTAAAAAATTACTATAATATCAACAAAACCCCTTCTAATACATGTTATTTTGTAAATGACTTTCAAATTAATCTATTTAGGAACTGAACACAGTTTTAAAGTTAAAATAAAACAGTGAAAATAAACTAACTTTATGACGATATATTTAATTCCATCGAAATTTACTAAATTGATCAAAATAAATTGAGTTAAGATGGTGGATGTAAAATGTTTACTGATGAACTAGTTCATAGACGATATGTTTCCCTTTATTGTTCACCTTCTAATATTAGGAAAACTTGTTTTCATTGTCTAATCTAATTCGAAAATTGATTTCACTGTCATTCATATAGAGAGAAATTAGTCATTCATTGTTCAATAAATATCTAATTAATCAATGTCGAATAAGTATTGGAAAAAGAAAGCCCAGCAAACTAACAGAACAGAACTTATAGATGTTCACATTTATCTATTCATTTTATGAAAATGGAATTTTTCCAAAAAAAGGAAGTAGTTTTTACCACTTTCCTCTTCAGTTTTTCGATGATTTTGTTTAAATTAGAGAACAAAAAAATTTGTACTCAGATTACTTTTCTAAATATAGTTATCAGTTTTCATTTTGGTTTAGTTTTTCTTTCTAAAAACTATTTATGTGAATATAGTTTACCAAGAAATAGTTCTGTAGATATTTCGTCATGTAAAATAGTCACTTTCTTCACTTGCTGGGTATCGCTGATATGAATTATTAGTAACGTAAGCTATTTATTGTGCTTGAATACTTGTTTTGCAGAAGATTAATGATATGTTATCTTATATTATTAATTAGTTACTTGATATCAAATGATTGAATAATCATTATAGATTAATAACATTCTCCTTGATTAATAAATTTTAAAATAGATAACAATTCATTTGACAGCTAGTGACTTAGTAACAGGTTGAAATATTCAGACAATAATAGTAGTCTAGTATTTGTAAGTGTCTAAGTTTCTCCATTATTAATATTTAGAACTAAGTATTCAATATCTAGTTTTTTTTATAATTCTATTTTAAAATGTCAGTAAAATGTACGTGATTATTTTTTATTTTTAAGAATAATGGATAGGAAAATTAAAAATTTCACTTCTTTTTTAATTTTTAATAAATATGTATTACAATATTTAAAGTTAACACCAACAAACGAACAAATTTCAATATTGGAGTATATGGCAAGTGTACAATTAATCACTTTAATAAACAGAACTATCATTAATTATTTATACTTTTCTAGATTAAAATCATTAATGAAGCAATAGATTACAGTAATATTGTAGAGTAGGTTACTTTTGTCAACAGTATGTAACATCAATCAGAATGTTAAGAAGATCTAGTTGAAGAGAACAAGAATGTAAACAGGGATGAAAGAACGATGAAGTTTGTAAGAGACAATTGAAAGTTGTGCAAATGGAGTATTTAGTGTACGGTTTTCATATTTTTTGACGATATTCTACAATATCGTATTCAACAATAAATTGGTCTTTCTCATATGAGTGTTTGTTTACTATTATATACGAGTATATAAGATAAATTTTTCCCTACACATGTTGCTCACTTTTAAAATGTACACTCAAATACACATAAGCCATAACACCAGTTCAGTGTGTTACAAGATGACTAAATTAAGGTTGAATTAGCATTGTCGTTTTTCTTTGTAAATTTGTTTAAATTCCGTAAAAGTAAAATCAAAGGTCTCAGTGCTTCCTCAGTTGGTACTGATTAATGACAGAAACCATGTTCAAACTTAATAAATCTCTATATATCTCTGAATCAAGCAAAAAATTGAAGCTTTTCAATCTTTTATAAGAATTTTAATTGAACTTCTACTGCTTCTGATACCTAAATCCTATGAAATAAATGATATAAACAAGTTTGTTGGGCTGGTTTTATGGAAATTTTACACATTGTAAGGACTATTTTCAATATAAAATGATATCCTCTAAGAAATTACGAAAGATTTAAAACAAATGAAATGGTATTTGGTTATAGTTTTAGACTTCTAAATATTACAAACCCATGCTTACTTAGTAGATAAAATACAAGATCTAAAGTTTATCTGAAAAAATATTGATTTTAAGTCAGTGAATTAGAACACTCTATAACATTGTTTGACGTGGTTAATTCTACTGATAACGACTTCCTACTTTAACTTCAAAAAATACTTCTTGAAACTAATCCTTAGACACTTTATTATTCATATTTTGCGGATATGTATAAATGTAAAGAAAATTTCAACCTTGAACTGTCTAAATGGTTCTTCATTTCAAACAGTCTTTCAATGATCCTCATTTCATAGAATCATAAATCACTTTTTTTTCTTTTAATTTGATTACTTCTTTACAATTTTAATGATAATTTCGAAAACAACTTAACAAGTGGGTATTTAGTAAAATATGCCATTTTCTTTCTTGCCTTAAAAAAATATTCAGTATTTTCATTTCATAAACGGGAACTGAGGCGAAAACAGTTTTTTTTTATTTTCTTAAATTTCAACGAGAAATTTTCTTCTCTTTTGGTTGCTTCATCTCTGTGTGTCATAGAAACTAACTAGAAAAAAAATAATGAAATTTTTATCTTTTGTATAAAAAGAAAATTATTTAAATTGTATTAGAAAATATTTTCTTTTTATCAATGGCTCAAACGAAATCAATCAATTTAACATACCTGTATAAGTGAGTGTTTGTATGTATATGCTAAGTGAACAGGACCTATAGAAATAATATTATGCTTAATACCAGTCCACTATGCATATATATATATATATATATATATATATATATATATATATATATATATATATAGTTTATACATAATCTTGACTTCTTGATCAAGGTGGAAATTTACGCAGTAAAAGAGTTTTACTTCAGCTTGTTGAAGCTGATTTTATATATATATATATATATATATATATATATATATATACATATACACTTTGGTTTGGTGCATATTTACCTACGTGAATATATGTTCATGTGTTTTTATATATCAATGTACGTCTGTATAGTAGATATGCTTAATTACTATATCAGTTGATGTTTGTATTAAAATGAATGAAAAAAAATTCAATAAAATCAAATCCTGTCCAGATTGAACTCAAGTGAAAAAAAAGAAAGAAAATTGTGAAAGTTTGAATGAAAGGAATTAAAACAATTTTGATTTGAAATGGATGCATAAACAACCCAAAAAAGGTTTTTGTTTTAAATATATTGTATGTGTGTATGTCAATTTTTCATTTTAATTTATTGACAAAATCTAGAAATTAAAAACCAAACAAAATAGATTCTTCGTAATTTATCCTTACTACTCTAACTAGAATTTTGTGTTTATGTGTTTGGTTTGTTTTTTTCTTTTCACTGATAAATCAGATATTTTTTTATTTAATTGTCAGAAGGAAAAAAAGTTTTTTTTATAGAAAAGAATCAAAATTGAATTTATGAATAAAATATATTATATTGTTCTTGTGGAGCAAGGTACATTGGACGTAGCCAGCACTCGCTTTCAACTCGGATACGGGAACATATCCCAGCTTGGTTCTATAAGGGTGAAAGGCAAGCAATTAGGAGTTCCATACTTGAACACCTAATCGACTGTAACTATTATGTAATCTCTTGATATTACTCCATTATTAAGCTTAGTTTATATAAAATAATGATTACTTATTAATGCTTATAAATTAATATCAATAGCGAAACTTATGCTGAAGAAGTTCATTGTGAGAACAATTCAATTTTGGATATAAACACTTTTCATAAATTATCTTAATTAACCATACCATATTGGTTTATTGTAAAGAATATAATTACACAATTTTACATAAGATAATACATCTAACAGTTAATGTGAAGCATGAAAAAACTTGAGTATTTACTTGAAAATTAGTAAAATTTAACAAAGAGAAAAAAATTTGTCATTCAATCGGTAGAAAACATAATTAAATGATTTCAGAGTTTAAAGCGAAAATTGAAATAATACTAAAAGTTATTTTTCACATTTAAATATTTAAACTTGTTTCATTGTAGAAATGAACTTGACTTAAAGGCATGAATCGCCCTACTGCCAGTAATGAGTACTGTAACTAATCAATTTATATCAGTATATGTTCATCATTGTCAAATTGGTTCGATGTTGCCTCTAAGAAGGAGTTTCATTAAAGCTGGATTGTGAATAACAATGAAATCTATAATAAGTGATTCGTCCTTTTTAGGACTCAGAAGCTGGGGTGGTTTTATTCTGAATGATAACTTTGTCACAACTTAGCAATAATTGGATAATTACTGAGAATCAGTAAACACTAAACAATTGTTTCAACTTGATTTGAATCGTTTTATAGATTTTTACATTCCCTATGAAAGGAGAAATTAATATTATCTTCACAGCTTTTAATTTACAAATGAAATCGTTTTGCCAAAAGCGTAAACTAGGGGAAACTCTTAAAAACTAAAGTAAAATCTATTATATCTTTTTCAAATAAATTACTTATCTAGTCAGTAATGAATTAATACTAAAATGAAAACGTATTTTCCGATTATTTAACTAACAATATGTCATTATTCGAATGTCAATTATATAGTTATTTTCTTGTTTCTTTTTCTTTTTGATCTACAGACAATCGTTCCATGTCTTATTTATAAATGTTATCTGGATAACTTCAGACTGTGAGTTAACAAAAAAAACATATGATAAATGTTCTCATTTTATGTATCTTTATGTATTGATTTATGATTTCATTCATTCTATTTTTCAATTCTTTGTATACTATAAGTAAGACCTGTGGTAAAACGTCATAAATTACACAACATTGAAGGGAGAATTTATTCATGTATAAATTAATATTTATTACATTTTACATATCCTAAAAGAATATTTTGATGAACATAAAATGTAACATTTCTTCTCTGTTTTGTGTATATTTTGTGATTTCCATTGATTACTTAAATAAAAAAGCAACCGTTTTCAAAGTCCGTCATTCATGGGTAATCAATACTGTTGAGTATTTGGCAGGAATATGTGTTGAAATCATGTGTTATTATGAACTATTATATCCTAGTTTAAAAGGCACTATATTGTTTGTTAACTTTGGACTACTATTTAATATGTTGAGTAGTAGTCATTCAATTCTTTGTATATATAAAATAACCTCCAAGATATAATTATTCTCAGGTTTCCGAAGATAGTTGCCAGGAAAACGTAGACTTAGTTTTCGAGTTTATTGACGCTTGTCTTAAGGTGCATTTGGATCTTTAAGTAAAATAATGTCTTCCGAGGTACTCTCTGATAAGTCCGTTAAACAGACGCTCTTGAATATGACAAAAGGCAGATTCTGGTTAACATTCAAATTTTATTCCAATTTCTCACCAATAATTAAATAGAATAAGTACAATTGAAATGATTAGCGTTTCATCAACACATTCAGAAAATATCATCGATGAACAAATTCGTCTAAAACAAAATAGAAAAAAAGTAATTCCAACTATTCCACCACTATACTTAAAAAACAGTATTGTCTTCACACAGACACATACTTTCATCAAAATTTTTACATAGGACATAAAATCAAACAATGATTGTCTTACAACAACAACAACAACAAAGTTAGTGAATAATTTTTTACAACACATTTAAAATAATTAATTTTATTATGTTCTAATCTGCATATGTAAACTATACTGGTCTGATTATTAATTGTGTTTGATTACGTCATGAAAATTAATTAGATTATGCTTAGTTATAATTTTCTACCCCGCTCCCTTTACTTTGAACAAGTCTTCATACTAATCAATATTCCTGGGGTTTTCATGATGTAACAAATTTGTGATTATAATGAACAGAAAAAAAATTAGGTTGGAAACAATTAGATATTGTTTTTTAAAAAACCTAATTTATATTTAGAAAAGTAAGTTGAATCGAAATAGTTATTTTATTTTTCCTATTATCATTGGAAATAATGATAATGTTAATTATGGGAAATTGTCTCTTGCTGAACTATAAAACAGTATGATAATATTTTGTTAAGTTTCCTATACTGATTTCTACATGAACTGATACTGTTTGTAAAGTTAATGAGAAACATAAAGAACCGAATAGTCAGGTTCCAAATGTGTTAAACATTGCTCAAATTTAAAGTATTTGAGAAAATAAATAAATTTGAAACAAAATGGAAAGTTAAGTCTGGTAAAATTGCTACTTATTATATCACGATATCAGTATTAAGTCACCCCGGAAATTAAAAAAAAAAAGGTAATTTTTATCTAAAGATAAACAGATATCATAATTACAGAAATAAATTCACTACTTAATGTGGATTAACTAATATCACTTCAGTAAATAGAATGTAGAATTCTATCAATCTAGCAATCATATGAAAATTCTAACTAAGAATATCCGATTAGTAGAGAAACGTAAACAAATAAAGATTGATCGAATTCTATCGGATTTGTTCAACGTCATCTAAATAGTTTGATTGGTAGTTAGATTTAAATAATCTCAGCAAATAATCATTATATAAACTTAACAGTTCATTAAGACATAATCATCAAAATTACTGTAAATATTGATTATTGATATTACTTTACACAGGCAAAGTGTTTCAATGTTACTATAACCTGCAGTTTATTTCGAACTTTCTTATTTTGGAATTAATTTTGACAAGCAGAAAATATCACTTACTTATGGTTTGCTTGGTAGTGAGTTACATTATGTGATGTATTAATTTCTAATAAGTCATATTTGAAAGTTAATTCATGAAACAATATCAAACTAAACAGTTGATTAAAAAATTATTGTTAATATAATGTTTACAATTTCAAAAGTTGAGGTCATAAATCTTGAATTTCGCGAGGCGGAATTAGGGATGCGTACTGCTAAGGAGTCCTATAATAAGACAAAACGGCCGTCTAGTGCTTCCAGGTTTTCCATGGTGGTCTAACTTCAAATAACTCATGATCTGAACTACTGAATTTTAAAAATTTGTTGACAACATTTGCTAATATTTGTTATTTTCAATATGTCGATTAGTTTTTTGTCAGATTTTGCCAATATAAAGGAAGACTTTCATATTGAAGTTATAATAACTAGTTATTTAGTGACTACTTAACAGACGAATATATTAGATGAATGATTTGTTCAATAGTTTGGTTATGTCTACGTCTAAAGCATCACCATTTCCATCACTCATATCGATTCATCATAAGTATATGACACGCATAACGACCATAAATTTAAATAATCAAGTTTTATTACATTCAGTCAAATAAAAATTTTGAATTATTCAATACATAAAATTAACTTAAAATTCACTCTATAATAATTTACTTAACTGATAATTAAGATAGTGCTGACGGTAGTATTATTGACGATGACGGCGACGACGATAGTGGTGGCAATGAAAACATATTTGTTTTGCTTAAAAAATTATATCATATTTCTTGACAGATCTGTCATATGCAATTCAACTCGAATTTCTTATTCATAAAATTATTTCTTATCTTTGACATTCTCATCATATTTCATTCAGATAAACAAATATTGTAAGAAACATATATTTATAAATTAATATTACTCAATCGTTGTATGTAATAAGTACGTTTGTCTAATTGAATTAATCATAGTAATATCGGTGAACAATGATAGTTATTACAAGAAAATTCAAAAGTATTACGATTTACATTTCATTTTCGTCTTCACGTAAAACTTAAATTTTTCGAGATTAATAAACAGTATACTTATAGTTGGCTGCAATAGTATTCAACAGAAATATTGGGTGATGCAATGAATGATGCGAGATAATATAAGATACCCTGGTAGCTACTCAGCTTTTTGATTGAGAACCTGAGAAAGGGTGAAATTATTTCTTGAGTTCTCGATTGTTTAACAGATACATTAGCTAGGTTAGCAGAATCATTGTTACCGGTTACAAAAGAAAATTATAGTATTTAGTATTGATTGTAATCACTTACTGTAGTCTGTTATATGAATAGCATTCTTATAATTTTAAACACAGATTGTCATTAGCTTCCATTACTAAACCAGTCATATCATTTCAGTGGGAAGAATCCCATTCGATAATGACAATAATTTCGTTTTTGGTTTATCTCACCAGTTAGGTAATCCTTCCCATTTATGTCTGGTGTTAGAAGAGACATCAGTAAACGATGGAGGTTGTTCGTTATGTTTTCATTTTAATCTAGCTTGTAAGCTCATAATGTTACGTATTTTTGATGCGAAAATAAATTTAGTATTTGAATTTCTGATTTGAAAATTGAAATAGTTCCACACAGTAACCTTATCTGAATTGAACAGTTCAACATTTCAAAAATGTTATTGATAACGATACGTAGATCCAAGTTCATCTCATAGTGTACATATCCACCTTATACCTAACTAAACTTCTTTTAATGAATTACACTAAACAAATAGTAAATTAGTCCTCAAATTGAATTAGACCAAAAAAGTTTATTATCATACATTTTTGAAGTTGACAGATATGACACGAAGGAACCATTTATCAACAATCAAAATATATATTAAGTAGTTAGACCAAACATTAATTAAAATAATATTCAATTAAGTTGATATCACTAATCAGACAGTAAGTAAATAGTCAAAAATAAAGATTCAATTTACAAGTCAACCATAAATCCTTACTTACTTACTTACGCCTGTTCCCCCTCGTGAAGGAGCATAGGCCGCCTACAAGCATTCTCCACTGAACTCTGTACTGGACAATCCTCTCCAGTTTTCTCTAATTGCTATTCATCCTTTTAATGTCTGCTTCTAATTTTCGTCACAGCGTGTTCTTTGGCTTTTCCCTTCAGGATTCCAAGTTAGCACTTGCTTCGTGATGCAGTTTGATTTCCACAATGTCTGTGGAAAATCCAAATATCCTTAGTATTTACACATCGAACCAAAACAAAGTAATTAACTGACAGAATTTTGTTGATTAAATTAGAGGATCGGTTTACGGATCCGGTATATCAACTGAACGTAGTTTATTTATCCTGAACTGCTGATTAATTCTCAGATCAAATTTTAAAAAAAAACAGTTCATGACCAATCCGAGCATTATGATTTTACTCGGATTTTGAAAACCATTTCCTATTTTAAAATTCATACGCATACTACACAGGTCTTTTGAATTGAATAATAACAATTTTTATTATAATTATGCTTTCCTTGATGATTCATAAAACGTATTCCTTTGTAATATACTAAACAATTACAATACATACACACGCACAAACACTGAGTTGTACAGAACTAGACACAAGCTGAATATTTTGGGTGGTCAACTTGAATACAAGTTCGAATTATACCAAACAACATAGCATATTTTCTCTATATCTCACAGGGAATAAGCCAGCGTTTTTTCTATACATATATATGTTTATTCATCTTTCTATTGTGTTTTTTTCTATATTTTAAGTTGAAATTTCAATTCCATCTGTCGTGCTCTGTCCTTTTCTGTTATATTATAAAATAAAATGAGGAAACATTTCTGTAAAAATAAAAAGGAGGAATATTATTTATGAGGAACTAAAAATGCTATATTAATGTATTTTTGTCATATGAAGCTGAATAGAAAGTATATTGATAAAAAGATAGTGTGCATAAACAATGTGATTTCTTGATTTCTATCATGCGTGTGGTTGATGAATAT